AGAGAGAGAGAGAGAGAGAGAGAGAGACTCTCTCAAGAAGTTTTTTTCTCTAAGCTGGACCTTAATAATGAGATGATATCTAAAATACACTAATGTCCAGAAAAAACTGCAGTTATTAAATGATCAAGTGTACACATTCTATCTTAAAGTGGGAGGCGTTCTTGTGGATCCCATGAGTGTGGTTATGGGCGTTTTAATTCTAAATCACTCCTCATAGCTGCAGTTAGTGCTCTGTAGTGATTGGGAGTTTGGAATAAGGAAGGAGGAGATAATTTTTACCTATCTCTTTCATACCCACCCCACCCCTCCCAAAAGAACCTCAAACAAAACATCATGAGCTACAGAATACTGTTAAGCCATGATTTTCTGAGATTCATCCAAATTAACCCCTAATAGTATACTTTCACAGTTGGTTATTTTTCAAAATTACCTGCAACTGCAGTGCTCTTTGTAGATTTTTGCACCTATGGTTATCTAGAGCATTATAAGTAAGATATGTCCGTAAATAGTAGAAATAGTTGTTAATAATAGATTACAAGTTATCTAATGAACTTATTTAAACATACTATGTTCATTTACATTCAATTACTTAGAGTTTGAAAAGGAAAGTATATTTAGTTTCAGGGAACGATTGGAGCTTAAAATTTTTAAGTTAGCAGCTCTGTATGATAATTTTTTCTTCTTTTTTTATGGTAAAACAAGTGAATTTCAATATTAGCAAGTACTAACACATGATAAGTGGTAGTGGCACTTACATTCTAAAGAAATAAAACAAACCCCTTATTTTCCAAAAATGGAAAGTATAAATGCTTGAATCATAAGAACTATCAGCTTCAAATTTGCTATTATCAAGTGAATGCAATTAGTTTCTGAGTCCCCAAAAAGTAACAAACATCTGATTTCCAATTATTCTTAGATAATTTTAGGATGCCATTATTACTTAAATATCAAACATGTAAAACAGCTTGCTCACTCAGTGATTAATTACCCTGCTCAAACTTTAACTACTGAAGAGATTTAAAATGCCAGAATTATAAAAACCCTTTGCAGAATATCCAGGCTATGTTGTTTTTTCTAAGAAAAAAAGAAAACATTTTTGGCACATAGACAGTGGGCTTGTGAAAAGCCCTTTGTCACTAACAGCCAAGCCTCTTTCTGGAAAGATAAGAATAACAGTTTCAGTTATTAGAAATGTGAGCTATCTAAAGAAAACAACATGGTAACATTATTGGTATTTAGCGAATTGCCTACTATTTTTGAACAAACTATTTACTAAGTAAAACTGTTTTCCCATTTCCTTTGAAAAACATTAAGACCTTGAATGTATTTCGATAAAGAGAACAAAAACTATAGTTAAATCACTTTTTAAAATGCCACATTTTCATTTGTACTTAGAAAACACAGGAGGGAAAAAGTTGTTCGTTTTCCTGAGGGTAGTGAGAATAAAAGTAAGCGGACAGAAAATATAGCACAGAAAGCTTATACTGCTTGAAACAAGACAATAAAGAGCACAATCAGTTATACAAATGACTAGAAATACAACTTACCTCCTCTGACAAAAGCATTTGTGGGGATGCAGGAAGGGGGAAAACCAGATAACAGATTAAGGAGCCTATCAGAGCTCGGAGTCCCAAGCAAAAAACTCCCCATATGAGACAGGTATGTTTCAGACCTACCTTCTCCCCAAGGATCTTCATCTCTCAGAAATCCCACCTGAGATATTCAAACTTCAATCACTTGACTAGTGGGAACCCACTGACTGTCTTCATGCTACTGAGAGTAATTCCAGAAGTCACCGTGCCCATTAAATGTTTACAGTCTGTTCCCAGCGAGGCTCTATGAACCATGCCTCTTTCTCAGGATGGCAGAACTGCCCTGAGATGAAGTGTGCAGCCTGTCAGAGAAAAAGTTCTCTTTAGGTTCGACTTCTGCTAGAGAGCAATCAGACACAAACAGCCAAAAAGCATCGTTTAATCACTCAGTCGAACGAACATACACGCTTTTAATAAAGGCTGCAGGAGAGCTATTACTGGATGTGACGTTGCCATCAGAGAAGTTTGTAACACATCACACCAGGGGTTTCAAAAAAGACACAAGGACACCGCTTGCACCTTGGCTGCATTTTAAAGCTACCCTCTCAGAACAGAATCTTCCTCCCTTCCGGTAAACACATGCTTGTATACATTAAAATAAAGAGCGTGTATAAATTAGCAAGAGGATGCTCTCTCGTTATAAACGAATCAACCCCAAACCCACGACAAGCTCACCATTTCCCCAAACAGGCATTTGGGGTACAGTCTTTGGGGAAAAAACAAACACACAAGAATGCAAAAAATGCAGACCAAACGAAAGAGACACAGTAACCTAGGAGAACGTTCTTAGCTGGGCTTTCAGACAGAAGGTATCACACAGGCTGCCGCACTGTTGTTCCGGTGCGAGAAAGATCCGGGGGGCTAGGCGTGGTGACAGACAATGGGCGCTAACACCACACAGCCAGTCTTAGCAAATTAGGTAAATTAGAGATCATTTGATGGTATCCTATTGTTGCTATTATAATCACAGTCATTCTCCCTGGTAATGATGCTTCGTGATGAAGTGCAGTTCTCACAGGATAATTGTGAAAGATACCGAAAGATGCAGGGATGCAGCATCTGGCTTTAAAAGCTCTTCAGTTTCAAATTGGCATTTTACTTTATCTTGAAAATTTATTAGAGATTCGGATCATGCCGGTTTGGATGGGAAGGTGAAAGCAGGGTAATTTCACTCTATGAATTATTCAGTCTCAGCCTGGCGAAATTGCCATCCATGAACCGATGCTCTGACAGTCCCTTCACAGAGCCTCCATTACGCTTGTCATTTTTATTTCTTTATCTACCATCTCCTTCTCAGTTACCCAGCTTGTCCCTGAGGGCTCAGCTTCACAAACCAAAGTAGCTCGAATTGGCAATAACCTAAATGTGCTGCAGTCTCGAATCGCTGTCTCCACAGGCTGTCTTTTTTTCCCAAATCATTAAAACCACATCCATGATGATATCTGTGAGGCTGTTCGATCAGATGAATTAAAACACACACACACACACACACACACACACACACACACACACACACACGGGCAGCACTGCGAAGAAGAGTTAGGTTCCGCTAACACCACAAGAGAAGATAAAGTGATGCTTTCTGCTTCCTTCTTTGTTGTCAGTGTGACCCATCCTAGTGCATAGCGAGCATCACGCAGACAGGAGCCAGGACTAAAGCAGGCTAGCCTGGCACCCTGATTCGCAGCCAGAGCAGATGAAGCCTGCACGGAAGGCAGCCTAATCCAGACAACTGTATACTTAGCGAGCACGATTAGTTAGGAAAATAAGAAGAAGCCATCGGATGACGGAAATCAGACTGCATTCTCCCAGGCTCCACCTGCACCCAGGCTGCATCACAGGCATTGTCCACTTGATGGCTGGTTGGGTCACTGCTAGTCGACAGCTGTCCCCGCATCCAGACAGGACCGGGAGTGACTTAGGTCAGTGAGTCTGGCTTCGCCGTGACACCGTGTTCTAACTGAGGACTGGGGATCTGCGCCAGCTCCCGGACCAGCCTTAACTGTGAGCTGGGAGGGTCGCACAGCGAGCGTCACTTCGGTGGAGTTACCCGCACAGGCCCCGGCCAGACCCACCGTGGCAAGCAGCGGGCAAGCAGCGTCTCCTTCGTCCTAGCTTTATTCCTGCAGGTCTGGTGGCCTGGCATAAGGAGCCCCCAAACCATTCCCACCGGTGGTGGGAAACCAGCCGCGCTCCGCCAGGCAGCTTGGCTACAAGGCTCCGAGCAGTACCTGCTCTGCTGACAATTCACGCTGCCAAGTTAGAAGCCGCCGCGTGCATGCAGACTGCTTCTCTGCTGCTGGCTACGCAAAGGTAAATACTCCTCATGTAAGAAATGCTAAGCGGTAGCAGGAAAAGAACACTTTAAAACTCTGGCGCTTTGTGCCTCGCTGTCTGCCTTGGCTCTGTCGCATTGCGACCAGGAAACTACAGGACCGGAGCTCCGGCAGTTGAGATACTGCAGACAGCAGCAGCTCTGACACGGCAGTCAGCTGACTGGCAGGGTGTTCCCCTGCAGTGTACTCCACAGAATCAGGCCAGTGGCTAAGGTGGCAGCAGACAGATGACCTGGATTGTGAAGCGTGGCTTCAGGAGGGCAGCCTCTCTCCATCCACACCTGGCAGCGATCCTGCACTCCTGGCTGGGACATCTTCCATGGCTTCTCTCTCAGGCAGAGTGTTTAACTCACAGCCTCAGGACTTAACTATTTCTGTCCTGCTTGCTAAGATGGCAGGTAATTCTGGGGGTGGCCACACCAATGGGAAAACAGGTTAAAATCATCACAGTCCCTATCGTTTGGGGTTAGTTTCAGTGTCAGAAGAAGAATCAGGGGAGAATGAATGCCTGTCCACGTTGTTGTTTTAAAAGCACACTTCTTTTTTAACAGGTAGAAATTGCCTTAAGCTACCAGCAGGCTGTAATGAACTGGTAAATTGTACCTAATGGAATGGCAAGAGCAATAGGAAAAAACTGAAAGGTAAATTAGTCCAGAAGTAACCTTCAATCATGGTCTGGTTGCTCTAACGCAGTGTGCATGCTCTGTTGCAAAACGTAGGTTGTGCATCCCAATTAATCTAACAATGGAGCGAAAGCCTTAGATGGTATTACCCCAGTGAGTTGAGGAATGCTAAAATAAGAAGGCAGTCATTACCAGGCACTTGTTTAATGACTGTAATCATACGGAATTAATTTAACTTGCTGCAATATTTAACGGAAAGTCAATTATAAATTTGTGCTAAAAGAATAACAATACCAGAATTTGCATAGCACCTTCCTCCTAGGAGACATCCTCTGAAGGCAGGCTCACATCCTCCACACGTACAGGGCACTCAGAACATGCCAAGTGCTCCACAGAGCCATCCACGGGCAGGAGCTTATGATCTGAGCCTGGATGGCATGAACTGTATGACTAGCATACAGAGGATGAACACATTGACCTAGGCCCGTCACTCTGTGGATTCAGGATGCTTTTTCCCATTTGTGCTTTATGGATTTTATGAATTTTTCTGTTTGCTTCTTATTTGGTTCTCTAGACATGAATCCTGCTCCAAAGAAGAAGTTTGTAGATGGCAAACAGAGAGGTCAGAACTAGATGAAAGGCCGAAACCGGTTTGGCTCAGTGGATAGAGCGTCGGCCTGTGGACTGAGGGGTCCCAGGTTCGATTCCGGTCGAGGGCATGTACCTGGGTTGCGGGCACATCCCCAGTAGGAGATGTGCAGGAGGCAGCTGATCAATGTTTCTCTCTCATCGATGTTTCTAACTCTCTATCTCTCTCCCTTCCTCTCTGTAAAAAATCAATAAAATATATTTTTAAAAAAAGAACTAGATGAAAGAGCATCGTTTGCAGAATGATAGAAGTACTGTGAGTGTTAAGTGACATTTAAAGAAAGGACTGATCTACTTGGAGGCGGTGGGCTTCAGGAGTGAGCTTAGGCCCTGGCTGAGGGATGCTCCCTGGAGAGGACCCCTCATAGGCCCCTCTTCTACACCTTTTCCAGCTCTCCTTAGAGAACCCAAGGCTCATAAATCCGCCTTTCAAAGCCTGCTATGAGGAAATGAGTCCCAAATGATACAAATAACCAATAACTAAATTTTTTTATTTTTTTATTACAGTTGACATTCAATATTACATTAGCTTCAGGTGTACAGTATAAAGGTTAGACATTTTGATAACTTACAAAGTGACATCCCGGGAAGTCTAGTACCCACCCTGGCACCATACATAGTTATTACAATATTACTGACTGTATTCCCGATGCTGTACTTTACATCTGCATGCTTATTTTGTAACTGCCAATTTATACTTCTTAATCTCTTCACTGTTTTCACACAGTCCCCAAGCCCTCTCCGCTCTAGCAACCATCAGTCTGTTTTCTATGTCTATGAGTCTGTTTCAATTTTGTTTGTTTGTTTATTTTGTTCTTTAGATTCCACATATGGTATTTGTCTCTCTCTCTGTCTGGCTTATTTTCACTCTGTGTAATAGCCTCTAGGTCCATCCATGTTGTCACAAATGGTAATCTTTCATTCTTTTTTATGACCGAGTAATATTCCACTTGTATATACGTACCACATCTTCCTTAGCCATTCGTCTGTGGATGGACACTTAAGTTGTTTCTGTATCTTGGCTATTGTAATTAATGCTGCACTGAACATAGGTGTGCATATATCTTTTCAAATTAGTGCTTTGGATTTCTTTAGATAACAGTGTGATTCCTCAGAAGTACTTCTATTTTTTAAGAAAACGAAGCTTCCCAAAAAAGCACAGCTATCTAATTGGGGAATTTCAAGCACCAACTTTCTAGGTGGGAAATCATTTCTGAGGGAAATCATTTCAAGGGGACCTTTTAGGGGAGCTCCTCTCCTTCATCATATGGCAGTTGGTCTGGGCTCATGGTGCCGAACTCCCAGTGTTGTAGGTAAGGCTTGGCCTAGAACCCCCTAAAGCCAGCATATCCCACAAATGTGGTGGTACATTCCACCTTTGATTGTGAATTTTCTCAGGTCTTGCCCACCAAGGAAAAAGTGGCCAGACATTGGTATTTTTTTAAAAGCCCTGGCCAGTGTGGCTCAATTTGCTGGAGCATTGGCCCAAACACCAAAAGGTGGTGGGTTCGATTCCCAGTCAGGGCACATACCTAAGTTTCCAATTCTATCTCATCAATGTCTCTGTGTGTGTGTGTGTGTCTCTCCCTTCCTCTCTTTAAACTCAATTTTTAAAGTGCTGCCAGTGGTTAGAGTGTAGGCCCTCATATGGAAGGGTTGAAGGTTCGATCTCTGGCCCCAGTCAAGTTGGGTGCAGGAAGCAACCAATTGATGTATCTCTCTCACAGCAATATTTCTCTCTCCCTCACTCTCTCCTTTCCATTCTCTCTAAAAAAAAATCAATGGAAAAAATATCCTTGGGTGAAAATTAACAGAAGGAGGAGGAGGAAGAAGAGGAGGAGAAGAAGTAGGAGGAGGAGATCTTAAAATTATATATATGCCTGGCTGGTGTGGCTCAATTGGTTGGAGCATTGTCCTGGTCAGGGCACATACCCAGGTTTCGAGTTAGATCCCTGGTTGAGCAACATTCGAGAGGCATATGTTTCTCCCTCTCTCCCTTCCTTTCTCTCTAAAATTAATAAAAACATATTCTCAGGAGAGGATTTTAAAAAAGCACCCCCAGGTAATTAATTCTAGTACCCAGGATGGACAACTAATGATGAAATATGCAATATTCCTTTTGCACATGTGAATTTGTGGTTAGAAATTCAAAAATACTGTATGCATTTTTGTTGAACTCAAGAATAAAAAATAAGAATAAGTCCTTAAATGTATCTATCTGTACTGTTATGATTCTGTACAAATCAATAAAAAGGAAATGATTTTTTAATAGAGAAAATCTAGTCCAGCCGGTGTTGCTCAGTGGTTGAACCTCAACCCATGAACCACGAGGTCACTATTCAATTCCCAGCCAGGGCACATGCCTGGGTTGTGAGCTCGATCCCCAGTAGGGGGTGTGCAGGAAGCAGCCGATCAATGATTCTCTTTCATCATTGATGTTTCTATCTCTCTCTCTCCCTCTCTCTGAAATCAATAAAAACATGTTTTAAAAAAATAGAGAAAATCGATATAGTTGTGATACACCCACATGTCCTCTGCAATTGGGGACAGTGTAGCCAGCGAGGTAGTCCTGCCCGCCCACAGATTCTGGTTTCTTGCTCTCTTACAGCACTGACCACCTTGTGTTGTGACCTTTTGTTCCCCAGTGTCCTCCTCAGTGGACCTGTGGGCTCTTCCAGGGCAAGGGCACACCACATTCCTCTTGACGGCCTGGCAGGTGGCACGTCTTCAGTATTTGTGAAAGGAATGGGGGAATGCTAAAGGGCGTCTTCCTGTTGGAGGAGAAAGCGCAGAGATATCCAAGCTTCCAACATGAGAGCATCAAGCTTTTCTTGCACTGTAGACTATACTGAAATAACATGCTTCCCAGTGACGGAAAAATATTAATTCTCAACTATAAATGTTGACTTAAAGCCTATGTAGCAAATAATTTTAAAAGGGCATGCATATGAAAAAAATGAGGGACGTGCTTTTGAAAGTCAGTGAAAACTCTATATGTATTTAATGGCTAATCAATTTCATATAATTTTAGATATTTTTTAGAAAAATGAGACATTCTTTGCATTTTGGAGACTGAGGCCAGTGAAGTGGTGGCTCTCTGTGCCTTTGCTAGAAAGCTGCCCTCTATAGCAGAGACAAGGAAAACAAATTCTGTTCCTAAGCCCTCTGAAATCTCCATTTTATACTACACATCTTTGTTTTTCTTTTTCTTTTCTTTTTTTATCCTGTATTCTCTGGCAGTCTTGTGAAGTTGGGTCACTTCTCAATAATGCCTTTATATGCAAATGCAATACATAGGATGTATACCTATTAAATAGGATTGCAAAGGAAGCTAATTGTATTAAACATCCTAGCTTTAAAAACTTTGCCGTAGGAAAATAAAAATTCTTCCAAAGTGAAATTGCGAAGTGACTTTAGTTGTCCTGTTCCAACTATTATGAAAAGAAAATTAGTTCAAGAAGAGCTTAAACAAGATAAAGAGCTGAGAAAGGAAATAGATGACTATGTTTACTGAATTTCAGTAAACTTGAAATGTAATGTTTCTTCTCAAAAAGTGATAAATTCAGTGACCAGCAGATTCCCCATCTTCACATCTATACTAATAAAAGGGTAATATGCTAATTAGGGCAGATGTCTTCTGGATATCCTTCCGGACAAAGCCGCAGCAGCTGCCTGAGGTTCTGGCAAGCTGCGGTGGCTGTGAGGGCCAAGGCTCAGGCAGCCAGGGCAGCCAGCAGTAGCAGCAGCAGAGGCGTGATGGGGGTGGTGCCTTCCCCTGATCGGCCGGTCGCCCCTAAGCCATCAGTAGGACATCCCCTGAGGGCTCCTGGACTGTGAGAGGGGGCAGGCCTGGCTGAGGGACCCCTCCAGTGCACAAATTTTCATGCACCAGGCCTCTAGTTTAATAAAACATGCTATACTTTCAAAACTACAAGTCTCATTTTACCCTTCCTAATACTTTGAGGGGGGGGAGGGGGGAAGTAAGGCAATTTATTCTCTCAAGTTTTGTTGTGAGGGAGGAAATTGAAGCTCAAAAAATATTGAGCATGTTAGCAAAAAGGTCCTAGAGCCAGGATACAAGTCTCTTAAACATACATCAGGCCACATCCTATTACATATTTAGTCAATGATTTGCAGCAGTGGGTAGAGGCTGGGTACTAAACCACTGGCAGATTGAAATGAACCATAGTGGGAATATTTACACCATGGAAATGAACAAACACTGAAAATCAGGGCTGTCTTTTTTTTCTGGAGACATGGTTTACATGTTGTAATATATTTAATGATACCAATTTGTAATCATGTGTCCCTTTATATCTACCCCATAATCCAGAATATAAAGCACATTGGTTAAGCATAAAGCTCTTAGGTCAGAGGGCTTCCCTTTGGATCCTATACCACTGATTATCTCTGTGACCATCTGGAATTCAACTTCCTATTCTGTAATACAGTATGCTCACAGGTTGTTATGTATATTCATGAATTGGTGCATATGAACACTAGCATGGATTTGCACACATGCTAAGCTCCCACTGGGTGTGAGCCTTGATTCTTTTCCTCTCTATCCTCCTCCTCCTTCTTTTTCTTATTCAATTAGTCATCCTGGAAGATTGACATGATTTGTACTAAAACAAATAAAGATTTTTAAAAGAAATTACAGACAAAAAACAGAAATAAAAAAAAACTATAAGCCACTTGGGATTTTAGAGAATGAAATGTTTATTACCTTGTGGTTCCCCGATTCTTGTGGATAATAGAGATTTTTTGCATAAATTCCATAATCTAAGAGAGCATCACAATTCAGCAGAGAAATTATTGATGAACATAGTTTCTGCGCGATTTTAGACATTTTCAAGAAGCCAAATTAAAACCATACATTGTATTATGAGCCACTGTATGCAAAACATATAATCAGGCCTCATGTTTCTGTGGTTACATAGCCTCACTCATGAATATGTTTTCACTTATGGAGCCTAATGGCCAATT